TGCTGCCATCGTGGTCTACTGCAGTCATGGAGGTGGTTATCCCTGCGCACACCCTCCAGCTTAAGAGGCTGGCGCACAAAGATGCCATCAGCAAGGGAAGGTCTAGAGGTGGTCATGAAAATGACCCAGGTCAGCGGCTCCTCCTCAGAGCCGCACATCAGAATCACCTGGGAATTCAAACCCACACACCTGGGCCCTAACTAGGAAGGTCTGGGCGAGGCCTGGTAAACTGGGTCTAAATCATTCCCAGGTAGATTATTCAGTCAGGCGCTCCTGGTTAATGGCCGATGGATGATTCAGGGTATGGGGGACTGCCACACAAGGCCTGGGGATGGAGGGGATCTCAGCCTTGGACATTAGGGAAAGCCCAAGGAGGGGCCTGTGGGGCCGGTGACCGACTCTGCACACACCAGGACCGCCACCTGCCAGAGGTGTGGCTTTGAATAAATACGTGCAGGCAGAACTTTGGTGGCTGGAGCCAGGGCAGACTGCACTTCCGTCCGGCCTCTGTCCCTTTTAGCTGTGCTGTGGGACCTTTGGCAAGTGAGCAAACCACTCTGGACCTCAGTTTCCTCCACATTAAAACAGGCTGTCCCTACCTTCTGGGGTTGTTGCGGGACTGAGTGCACGAGCGGTGCAATCCAGGGCTTGGCATGGGGGCCTGGCACACACACAGCAAGTGTTCAGAGAATGGCAGACAGGGTAAGGGCAGCAAACCCACGGAGATCACTACCAAGGACCGGCCAGATAACACCACAAATGAAAAGTGAAGAAGTCACGCCAATGCCAGTCTTTAACATGTATAAAGAGCAAACTCCTATGTAGAGCAGGATATGGACACATATACGGACAAACACTTCACAAATATTTACTCCTTTAATCCTTGTAACCACCCCATGGGATGGGCACTGCTGGCACCCCCATTTTATAAATGAGGACAGTGAGACACAGGGGTGCACAGCAAGGGAGTGGAGGACCTAGAATTCCAGCCTAGGCAGGTGGCTGCAGGCTCCCGCTACACTCCCCTTCCTACGGGCATGCTGCACATACTGTCCACCAGCCCGGGCAGCCACCTCCCTGCCCCACCCCCCACCATCCCCCCACCTTACCTGGCTGGTGCCCTCATCTGCTGTAAGACTCCACTTGGGTGTCACCTCCTCCAAGAACTTTGCGCTGACAGCCCCAGGGCCAGCCAGCTGCCACAGCTCTAGTCTCTTTCAGTTATATGCAGCTTCCCTGGTCTCGCCGTGTTAGGATTATGTTCTGTATTCCTCATCAGACCAAGTCCCTTAGGGACTCCATCCATTTACTCGCTCCCTTAACTAGTGCTTGTCAAGAGTCAATTATGTGTATGTATACCGTGCTAGCGTTGGGATAAAATGGTCAGTGAAACAGAATCCTGCCCTCATGGAGCGCACAGTCGAGGGGGGGTCCAAGGGGGACAGCCACTCTAACAAGCATCGGGCAAATATGTAAGTTTCAATGGTGAGGGGTGTAGTATAATACACAGTACCGTGAAATCACAGACAGGGCACTTGTCCAAATCAGGAGGGGGGTGTCAAGGAAATGAGATTCAAACTGAGATCCAGTGAGTGCCAGAACTAATCAATGAAAGGGAGAGGAACACCAGGACCAAAGCCCTGAAGCAGGGAGGAGCTGAAGGGGTGCCCGACCATTAGCTGACCTTTTAGAGTTTTTCTCCCAATTCAGAAGAGATCTGACACTCCCCCTCATTGCAGAGGCTAAGACAGAAAATCCCCAGGCGTCCATGAGGCCCAGGGCTCTCACTCAAAACTTCAGGAACAGGAGCGTGGGCCACTGTGGGAGAAGGGCACTCAGGGGTTGGGGACGGAAGGTGATCCACCTCTTAGACCTGGGAAGGAGGAAGCTCCACTCTAACAGATATTCATATATGCCCACATTTGTGGAGAACTGCAAGTGGGAAGTTCAAGGAATTGAAAAGATCAGTGGGGTTAAAGGATGAGGACAAGGGGAGAGGGCCCCAAACGGAGTGGCAGAGGGACCGGGTTATCACGCAGAGTTCAGACCACTAAAGACTTTTACTGTGAGCGAAGGATTGTCTTCTAAAAGACAGTCAGGGGACGAGAGGGAAAGGACAAAAGGTAGAGCACCCGGAGGCTACAGCCTGACTCTAGGGATGACACAGGAATACGGCTCTTTACAACCCGACCGACCCGAAGCGCCATGCCAAGCCCTCCCTCCCCAAGGGGCACCCCTTCCCCACTATTTCCCTGCTCGTCCAGATCGCTCGTGTCCCCAGCACACTGCCCTTTCATGCCACTCTGATCTACACGCCACACTGCTTTCCCTGCCCCACTGAGGTCCAGCCCGGAGCCTGCCCCTCTGTGTCTGCTGCAAAGGGCACACACCTCAGTCACAGCCTGCCCGGCCCCACTGGGTGAGCCCCTCACCTGGTGAGGGACACTCATCTCGACATCCCGGCAATTGCTGTACCTCCACCTGTGGGGTCAATGAATGTGGCCGGACAACCGGACCAAGGAGGCCGTGAGTGGGAGACAAGAGGAAGAAAGGAGCGCAGTAGCTCCAGTATCAGAAATGCACAGTCCCCAACAACTCTCCGTGCTTCGGCTGTGTGCCAGGCACCAAACTGCCCACGGCCACTTAGGAACAGCAATATGCCATCGTTCACGGAAGACCCCAGCACCGAACTCACACCTCCAGCGCAGGCCGCTGCCCCCAGCTCCATACCCCTCTGTGCCAAGGACCCAGCAGCACTGCACCCAGCGGGCAGCTCAGATCTGCGGGATTTTAGCCGACCTTCTGATCTCTGCCCCTCTGCCTGCTCCCTCCTTATGGCAGCTCAGTTCCAAACACTGGGGAGGGGGCGCCTGGGTGAATTAGTCAGGTAAGCATCCGACTCTGGCTCAGGTCGCGATCTCATGGTTCAGGAGTTTGAGCCCTGCACTGCATCGGACTCCCCGCGGTCAGCGTGGAGCCCGCTTAGGATCCTGTCGCTCTCTCTCTCTGTCTCTCAAAAATAAATAAAACATTAATAAAAACCAAAACAGTGGAGTTTTCTTGGCTCTTCTCTCATGCCCCCATCCACTTCACAAACTCCACTGGCTCCACCTTCTAAATATGTTCTGAATCTGACCATTTCTCTCTCCCTCCTCTAAGGTCTTCTGGATCAAAGTCACCATCACCCCACACCAGGGTTATTGTATTATTCTAACTGGCTTCCCATTTTCTGCCCTCTGTCCTTCCCACGCTCGACCAGACCATTCCGAACATGGTAGCCAGAGTGATCTCCTTAAAATGAACATTAGACCATGCCCCTCTCTGCTCAAATTCCCTCCCTCCACGTCAAGGCCAGAGCCCCGTGGTGCCCGCACTATTTGGATGGGGACAAGTCTGACCTCACCCCTCCTCGCTCTCTCCGCTCTGGCCCCAGGGACCTCTTGTGATTCCTCCAACATTACTACCTGCCCTTTGTCCTGGGACTGCCATGCTTGCTGTCCCCTCCATCTGGAAGGTTCTTCCCTGGTGTCATCCTCACACCTCACCCCCTCATCTCCTTCAAGTCTTTCTTCAATGTCACCTTCTCAAGTGAGGCTCTCCTTGATTTTTCCACTTAAAATGGCTAACTCCCGGCTTCGTTTCTCTCCAATCTTGTCACCAACTGACCACGTAATGTGAACACGTAATGGCTTCAAGGGCGTCTGTCCTGCTCCCTGCTGTGCCCTGGGCACTCACCCTGGGGCCCAGCACGAGGCTGTCACTCAGTAAGTATCTGTTCAGCCCCGGTTTACACAGGGCAAGGCTGCAAGGGCCAGAGCCAAGATGTAAGCCGGAGTCCGGACTGTCCTCCTCATCACTCTAGGGAGGGCTGGAGAGGGCGTGGCTACGGCAAATACCATCTTTTACGGTGTGGACAGAGGGCAAAACACAGACAAATCGGGAAGAAGCGTAAACAGAATGCAGCTGGAATGCAGCTAGAAGAGGACATAAACAGCCAGAAGGACCGACCTGGCAGCACAGGAATGTGAGGGGGTGGCCTGTGGGGCAAGAGACACTCTGTGCCTCATGCGGACTTCCACTCCCAGCCTCCCTCTGTGGACACTGTGGGCCCTCTCCCTCTTGCGGGTCCAGCCCGGCAAAGCAGGGCAGAGACAGCCTCACTGTGGGGGGGAAGGGGAAGCAGAGCCAGGGAGGAGGGACCGGAGGAGGTGACAACCACGGGGGAACCAAGTACCCAAGCAACTTCAGTTTCACTTGTGAGTCAAAGCAGGTTATTAAAAGAGGTCGGCACTGCTCTAAGGCAAGCGCTGCTGAGGGGGGGTGGGCTGGTGGGGGGTGGTGGAGGAAGGAGGAAAGATAGAGTGTCAGTTTATTAAATGCCAAAGCAAACAGATGAAAAGCAAAACAAAAAGTACAACACTGCCGCCCTTAAGCCCTGACAGGCTTTGAGTGACCCCCCAGGACAGGTTTCACATGAGGTGGGGGTGGGGGAGGGACACATACCCTTCCTCCGTCTCATTGATAATGTCGCAGATCTCCATGTTCAACGTCCAGTCTTCGCTTTGCAGGGAGCCATCTGTTGCCTTTTCTGTAAAGTCAGAGAGAAAATGGATTTACATTTTTCCCAGAATCAGGGGGCCCTGGCAGGAAACAAGAAGGGGCCAGAACCACCACATCCCCCTCCCAAGCACATGGGCTGGGCCGACAGAGCAGTTCTAAGGGTGCTATTTTCACAAGGGAGCATCCAGAGAGAGATCTGGCCCTGAGTGTTGCAAGATGGAAAGTTCTGGAGATTGGCTGCGTGACAATGTGAACGCACGGAACACTTGAAAAAATGGTTAAGATGGTAATCTTCACGTTACGTGTATTTCGACACAATTAAGTTTCCAAAATTAAATGAAAACACTCACAACCCCCGTAAGGTAGGTATTATTCCCTCCCGCGTTGAAAAGGAAGGAAACAGGCTCAGAAAGGCTGGGTACTTGTCTGGGATCTCATCATTGAGACTGGGGGTACCGGCATCCAATCTCAGGTTGCTTGTCTCCAAAGCCTACAAAATTGCATGATCCTGCCCCACCTGCTAGTAAAGCTGGACTTTTTTTTTTTTTAAGTTTATTTATTTTGAGAGACAGAGACAGCAGAAGTGGGGGAGGGGCGGGGAGAGAGAGAGAGAGAGAGAGAGAGAGAGAGAGAGAGAGAATATCCCAAGTAGGCTCTGCGCTGCCAGTGCAGAGCCCGACGCGGAGCTCGAATCCATGAAACCACAAGATCGTGACCTGAGCAGAAACCACGAGTCCAGCGCTCAACCTACTGAGCCACCCAGGTGCCCCTAGGAGAGCTGGACTTTGGATTTGGGGTCGTAGCTTAGACAAATTCTAAACGTGCCTCATCCTACCTGTACAGTTCATGAGAGGGATAACATCACCACCATTTTCTTCATACAACCCACACTTCCACTGATAGATAAGAAAACAAACGACCTCTGTACATGCTGAAATTGTCCTTGTTTTACTGGATGCAGCTCTGGGGAAGTGACACTTGTTTTTACATAACATACTAGAACTCACACATCCAAACAAAGGCTGTACTTATAAGCAGTGACAATATACTCCAAAAATATAGCTACTGCTCAAGACATTTGTGCAACAGCTTCAGTCTGCATGTAAATGCCCCATTGTTTTAATTTTTGCCAAAAATGACACATCCCCAACTTTTCCACCCTCTTTATTCATCAACCTTAACACCCAAAGACCCGTTGAAACAAGCAAGCGCGCCCATAAATGAGGTGGCTCTGTGTCTCAGGCAAATGCTGGGCCTGCAGCAGACTGGGCAGGGTGCTGGGAAGTCTCCGAGATCTGAGGAACCCTTAACCGAAGTCCACGATGGTGCCAGGCTGGCAGGGACAGAGGGAGTATCTGGTGTGTGCCCATAAGAAAAAAAGTGTGTGCGGAGAGGGAGAGGCAGGGATGAGAACCCGTGTCAGAGACTCACTGGAGGCAGACAGGTCCCCGAGACGCTGCTCCCCTGCCCTGTCCACCGCCTGCACGTGGAAAAGAGCAGCCACAGCAGGAGAGCTACCTGGAGAGTGAGGGTGGGGACAGACAACAGCCACGGTGGGAAGGGTAGGGGCAGGCCCCCAAGAAGAATGGCCCGAAGCACCGGTCAGCTTAGCCTAGAGAAAAAGACTAAGTACAGAGGCTACAGGAAGGCAGAGGGGACAGGCATGAGGCAGCATCACCCAGCAGCGTGTCCCCTTGGCACTGGGCATCAGCCGGAGGTGGAAGGCCACAGCCAGGTCCTGGAGCCGGTAACTGTGGGAGTGAAATGATTCGCGCCTCTGGCCCTCTGCTCTCCCTGCCACGCTCAGCTGTCTCTGAACGGCCCTCCCCTTCAAGGTGTCCACTCCCAGACGATGTGACTCCCCCCAAGGTCTCACACAACAGGGGAGCGTCTGTGGCCATGAGTGCAGAGCACATGCTCAAGAGGAGACCAATCCCAAAAAAGCCACTCTGCCCGCAGGCCCGGGCTTTCAACCCTTCTCAGCCGGCCAGGGGAGAGGCCAGCTGGCCAAACGGCCACTCCGAGCCGGTCATCCGTCCCTGTCACAGCACCGGCTGCGGCACAGACGCTCATGAGGAAGAAAGTCTGTGACTGCACTTTGGTAGGGCCATAGGGACACTGTCTTGGGAGGCTTAATAGAGGAAATATTAAATCAATGAAACCTCATTTCCAAGTTCGGTTTAGCAGCAGAATCCATTAACCTTATATTCACCCGCTCCCTTCCTCTAATAATACCGGGAAGGGGTTCAAAGGCATGATAACTTATCCTCCGGGTAGCGCATTCTATTCAATTACTGGGATTCTGAGTTTCCAAGCTAAAAGATATATACTCGTTTTGATTATAAAGAACCAACCCAAAAAGAATGCTGCTTTCTTTTCATTTTGCTGGAAATGCCACATAAATACAACTGTGGGTATTTGGCTCTGCTGAAACAGATGAGGGAAGTAGGGCTGACAAAGGAGCTCAAATCAGTTCTTATTTTTCTCTGCTCATAAAAGAATTCCCAGCAATGGGAACAAAGTTGTATCTGATTGCCCCTGGAACTGCAGCCACTCAAAGCGTGCTCCCTCACTCAGTCCTGTCCCCGGGCCAGAGGAAGCAAAATTCAATCTCATTTCTTTTGTCACGTAAATCGTCAAAACCTAAGATAAATCCTGGTGCAACAGCAGAAACACAACGCTCCAGGGAGCGATGGGGCAAGTCATTCCCATCAGCCAGCCCTGGGGACGGATAAAGATCAAAACACCAGTGACCCTGGCTGCAAAAGCTGACCTTTCAGAGTTCTCTGGTGATATGCTAATGGCCAGGGGCTGAACTGGGCAAGACCAGGCAGGGCAGGGCTGCGCTGGGGCTGGGCAGGGCAGAGCAGGGCTAGGTAGGGCAGGTCTAGGCAGGGCAAGGCTCAGCAGGAAGGGCAGGGCTGGGATGAGCAAAGCAGGGCAGGGCAGGGCTGGGCAGGGCAGAGCAGGGCTGGGCTGGGCTGGGCTGGGCTGGGCAGACCAGGGCTGGGCTCAGCAGGGCAGAGCAGGGCAGGGCAGACCAGGGCTGGGCTCAGCAGGGCAGAGCAGGGCAGGGCAGACCAGGGCTGGGCTCAGCAGGGCAGAGCAGGGCAGGGCAGACCAGGTCTGGGCTCAGCAGGGCAGGGCAGGGCAGGGCAGGATAGAGCTGGGCTGGGCAAGGCAGGGTTGAGCAGGGCTGCGCAGGGCTGAACAGGACTGGGCAGGACTGGATCGGGCAGGGCAGAGCTGGGCAGGGTAGGGCAGGACTGTGCAGGGCAGGGCAGGGCAGGGCTGGGAGGCCAGGGCAGGGCTGGGAAGGCCAGAGCCGGGCTGTGAAGGCCAGGGCAGAGCTGGGAAGGCCAGGGCCAGGCTGGGATGGGCAGAGCTGGGCAGAAGCAAACACAGCTCCCATTAAACCTTCAGTGCAAGACAGTATATTATCCTAAAGCTATTGACAAGGCATTTTCTCCATTCACAAAAGGCTGCCTCCAGCCAGGTGGAAGCTGGGAGCCAGGATGCCCTGAAGCCTAGACCCTGACGGCAATGATCGTGTTCTCTCAGGCTTTGTATTTCTGTCCCCCCACCCCCACCCCCACAGTCTGAAATCCCAGGCGGTCCTGCTGGGAGGAGCCTCACAATCCAGTGGCTTGGTTTCTTGGCTGCTGCTGTCTACACTTTGATGTTAAATATAGTGACTTCAGAGCAGCTAGCACCAGAAGGCAAAAGAGGGCTGGCTTTAGCATTTTGCATTCAGCAACATCCTTTTGGTGAGAATGGAGAAAAAATAGCCAAATTATCTACCTCCCCAACAATCAAGAGTGTGGGTCGCAGCCCAGAGGCACTGGCACAAAGGAACATCATTCAGGGTTCTTTCATGCCAGGTATTGAGGAAGAAGAAAAGGGGGTTGGGGTGGGCAGGAAGCTCCTCTGATAATATGCACCAATAATAGGAGATGAACCTTCTCGATTACTACATGCTAGTGAGGCAGGTTGGCATATACCAGTCGGGTGGAAAGAAAAATCAATCCTGACATTCTACACAGAGCCATTATTGTCTATTGCTTCAAATTCCTAACATGCTTTGTGAATGTTAATTGCAGCTGCTCCCCATCCACCGGAGAGACAAGAGAATGAATTCCAAATACTCATCCCTATTTTATAGGATGTCCTTTTCTATGACAGCTGTCCCTGCTCCTCTCGTACCCCTCTAAAGGAAGGTAACAGGACAAGAAGAAGGTATACAAAGTATGTCTGGTCAGCCTGTAGACTATTGTGAGGCAGCTTTCTCTGTAACTTTAAGGCAAAATAAAGCCCCACGGTGCCCGTGCCCTTCGCTCCAGATTGGCAGAGCCCGAGTCGTGCCATGCACTGCACTTGCAGATGACGAAGACCCTACCTTCAGAGGTCAGTATAATGGGAGAGGCCTCTGGAGAGTCAGACAGGCAGTCGGTTAAGGTACAGTCCAGTCTGAGCTGTAAGAGGACAACCACAGCCCTCTGGGTGGCTTTGATACCTGTGCCCGGGTGCCAAGGAGCCGGGAGGAAATTAATGGCACCCTGCGCACACACTGTGACAGACAACAGCAGCTTCTTTAAGCAGAACACAAACATTGACAAGATAAACCAGAAAGAACCAGCCAGTGACCGTGTGACGGCCTGGAGGAAGCGACCACGCCTCTCTCTCACACACCCCAGGCGAGAGAGCTCCAAGGAGGGCAGGAGGTAGGACCGTGCTTCCCAAACTTGGATGCAGGTTAGAATTACCCAGAAGCGGGGCGCCTGGGTGGCGCAGTTGGTTAAGCGTCCGACTTCAGCCAGGTCACGATCTCACGGTCCGTGAGTTCGAGCCCCGTGTCGGGCTCTGGGCTGATGGCTCAGAGCCTGGAGCCTGTTTCCAATTCTGTGTCTCCCTCTCTCTCTCTGCCCCTCCCCCGTTCATGCTCTGTCTCTCTCTGTCCCAAAAATAAATAAAAAAACGTTGAAAAAAAAAAAGAATTACCCAGAAGCTTTTTACAAATATTCCTGCCGT